GTAGCCGCTGCCTTCGGCTCAGGTCATGATCTCAGGGTCCTGGGATCGAGCCCCGCATCGGGCTCTTTGCTCAGCGGGGAGCCTGCTTCTCTCTCTCTCTGCCTGACTCTCTGCCTACTTGTGATCTCTCTCTCTGTCAAATAAATAAATAAATAAATAAAATTTCACCAACTTTATCAATTCTATGATGCATATATTTTCACATTTTATTTTCTATAACATCTTAAAATGCATTAGGAGGCATCTCGAAATTTTTGTTGTATGATGGTTATCTAGAAACTTTATTTTCCTTCCTAACAACACATAAAATATTGGTGCATGTTATAATCAATGACACGTTAGTCAATAAAACATAGTAAGTGACCTCAAGGTTTATAGGACAATACCTGGTGAAGAACAGATTCTACAAATGTACTGTACAACTTCCAGGTCGTCTTCTCCCAGACCACCAAGACTATTCATTCCCAAGATCAGTCATTCTGGCCTATCAGCAGTTTCCTAAATTCTCCATCTATCTACACATGAAGCTCCCTCCTAGAGCTGCACCCCACCCCTCACCCATGCACTGTACCCTGACCACTAAATCCCTATTAGCTATTCTAAGAATTTGCTCAAATTCCGTGAGGTCTTGCCTGTCCCCACAGGCAAGGGTCAGACTTAAGCATTTCCATTCCAGGTATCCATCTTGTAGACTCTTCAGTGTAAGATGAACCATATCATATCACGTTAGGTTTTTTCTTTAACACATATGTCTCTCTCCCTGCCCTAAACCTAGTACAGGTCCTGGGAGCTGGAGATTGTCTTATTCAGCCCAGTATGTCCCACACTTAACACAAGGCCACACACAAAGAAGATACTTGGGAAATGCTTGTTGATTGACTATAAGCAGCTCATCTTCCTACTGCCCTCTCTCTCAAGAGTCACCTTTAGTGTTCACAGTGGCAATGCATTTTGTAGTCCTCACATCCCAGATGCGAATGGTTTTGTCTCCAGATGCTGTGACAAAGAGGTCAGGATTACTTGGATGCCAACAAAGCTGGTCCACACTATCCCCATGTCCCCGATAATTGTTTTCTTTGACCTGAAAGAACAGAATCCAATGCCACTTCACACATAAGTACCCGCCTCCACATGTGACTTCTAAACCTTATTCAAACCAAGGTACCTTGTGGCAAAGAAAAAGCCAGAAAATTTAAACGAATTTTTAAATTTTTAAACCCCTTCCCCAAAACTCTTCCCAATACCCTCCTCCCTTCCTCTCCAATCACTCTGAATTGTTCTGAAATTTGGATTCCACAGCAATGCCCTAACTCTTTTGCCCTCCCTGGCCTTCCTCCTTCTTTTTGGTTCTCCACATTTAGTCTACCAAGGTTCTCAATCTTCTTGCTCACTCTCACAGGAAGCCTCCTTACCACCATAGGGACCCCACCACCACCACAGCCTCTAGCCACTCCTCACCACCACACAACTCCTTCCTACCACTCTCATACACCCCACCTCACTCGAATCCCATCTACCCTCCTCACCACCAGTCCTCATCCTCTCCTCGCCTCCACTCCCAGCTCATCTTTACACCTCCTTACTGCTACACTCCCTCACACCCCCACCTCCCTCTTACCACCACCATCTTCCTCTCTACCACATTCCCTCCAGATCCCTAATCATTACCCTTCTCACTCCCGCACTCCTCCAGCGTGCACTACACAACCCCCTTCTCCCCACACCCCTCCCTTCTCCTCGCCTCCATCCCTCATTCTCTCCACCACCACACCTCGCTTTACCACAGACCCTCTCTCTGGCCTGGGCCGGTCCCTGACAGCTTACCAACCGGTCCTTCTCCAGCAGGAATACGCTGGCCGTCTTGTCGAAAGACCCCGAGGCCAAGCGACGCCCATCGCAGCTCCAGGCCACCGAGTGCACCTTGGCGCTATGTGCAGGGAACTCGCGAGTCTTGCTGTGGCCGCGGAAGAGCTCCTGCATTCCCAGCACGTAGCGTGTTGGGCCGCTGGTCACTGAATACCATGGAGCCATTGAACCAGGACCGCTCTGACCAAGCGCCGAGGGCCCCATAGCCGCCGCAGCTACCGCCATGGCGAGCTCCCAGGAGGCCGCGTTCCTACAACAACCTTAGCGCAGTCAGTCCTGCCGCCGCCGACGCACGCATGCGCCTGGAAGAGAGGCTCTTCCTGCACAGCCGCAATGCGGGCCATCCGAGCAAGGACTACAAATCCCGGCATGCAACACGCGCGCTTCCTTTTCAAACAGGAATGATTACAATTAAGCTTCCTTCAGTTAGTGATTCTGGAGGTTTAAGGGCCTATTTCCCCCATACCTACTGCCTAGTAGATATATTTGTATCTTGCTTAATTTAAGAAAGGAAAACCAACAATATCCTTCCAAACCTCAAATCCCCATCAACAAAAGACCTTTTATTCAAGGGTTGATCCCCACCACTCAGTCTCCTACCTTAGAACAGAAGGTCCTCTACTCTTCGGTGGAGAAGGACCCACTGGTGAATTAGAGGTTTGCGGGGGTACAGAGTGGGGAGGAGAGGGATTGAGAAGGAGTCTTGAGATGTCTTTAAATAAACAAATTCTCCGGTCTTGAAAGGTATTATTGATGAGGGACAGAAGCAGAAAAAAATGTTCACCTTTAGTCCGGAAGCCTGATGTATAGCCTGCATAGTTCCAGCATGGATGGAATGCGTAGTGACTGCTACATTCTCTCCGTTCTCGTTCTCTTTCTCTCTCTCTCTTTCTCTCTTTCTCTCTTTCTCTCTCTCTCTCTCTCTTTAAAGGTTTTTACTTATTTGACAGAGAGATAGAGCATAAGTAGGCAGGGCAGCAGGCAGATGGAGAGGGAGAAGCAGGTTCTTCACTGAGCAGGGAGCCTGAGGTGCAGCTCGATCTCAGGACCCTGGGATTGTGACCTGACCAGAAGGCAGACGCTTAATTGACTGAGCCACTCGGGCACCCCTGGTTACTACATTCCTAAAAGGTCTCATGACTGCCTGTGTATCTCGCCAATAGTTAATATCAAGCTGAATGATAAGCACCAGAGAAATCTTTCGAAAATAGTTTCATGAGTAGAAATTTGAAGAAAACATTTCTGATCTAATACTGCCTGCACATCCTGACCCCCTTGAGCAGTAAGCATACAACCACCAGCTTCATACAGCAAAAGAGCATATCTTTCTGCTCACAGGACCTATCACCCATGCCACTTAAGTAAACTTACTAAGTTGCACCGCAAAACACCTCAGGAATTCTTTCTTGACCATCATGTTCTGTGATCCCACAACACTGCATGCACATGATTAGATATGCAAAAACGTAAAAGATACAGGATAAAAAGTAAATGTCCATTTGTGTCACACACACACACCCCCCCAGATTATTCCCAATGTTCTCACGCCTACCTTAAACCACAAGTCCAGTGGTTCCTTGCTGAAGAAACCACTGATGAGCTGCCTGCACCAACCAAGGCCCTGGAGAAGGACTGTGGGCTGGGGAAGGGTTTTGGTGGTAAGCAGGTAGCTAGAGAAACAAATTTTGGGGGGATGGTCTGGGTGACTCAGTCAATTAAGCATCCAGATCTTGATCTCAGCTCAGGTCTTGATCTTAGGGTCTTGAGTTCAAGCCCCTCACTGGGCTCCACACTAGGTGTGAAACCTACTTTAAAAAAAAAAATTAAAGGTAATATGAGCACTTGGGTAACAAATGTTAAAAATACAAAAGGAAGGGGCGGCTGGGTGGCTCAGTCAGTTAATCAACTGCGTTCAGCTCAGGACATGATCCCAGGGTCCTGGGATCAAGCCGCACATCAGGCTCCCTGCTCAGCAGAGAGCCTGCTTCTGCCTCTCTCTCTGCCTGTCTTTCTGCCTACTTGTGTTCACTCTTTCTCTGTCTCTCTCTCTCTCTCTGTCAAATAAATAAAAAAAATCTTTAAAAAAAAGTTTCTGAGCTGAAAGCAGCCAGATTCTTACAAAAAAAAAAATATACAAAAGGAATAGAATGAAAGTAAGTTTACCTCCTGTGCCCCCAAATTTACCTTCTGAAAAATATTAACTTTTTTGTGTGGTCTTCCAGAGATAGTTTAAGTGTAAATCAGCACCTCTGGGGAGGTGTATATCCTTACAGTTCTGTGTATATCCTTCCTACGCCACCAGAAAAAAATGGTAGCCTTCCTTATGTAACTTGTTTTCTATGGTAAACGCACATGAATAATTTATCAGTATATGCAAATGTCTCATTCTTCTTAATGAATGTAGTCTTTTATGATATGCGTGTATAATAATTTATTCAACTGATCGCCTTAATGGATATTTAGTGTCCATGAATTTGCTTTTAGAACAATACTGCAGTAAATATGCCTATACAAACTTCATTGTGCATATATGCACTTTTTTATTCGAACAGATATTGCCAAAATATCTATGAAAGTATTCGAACAATCTCCATTTCCATCAGCAACATAGGAGAATGTCTTAATATCCTAAATACTAAATGAGGCCACATGTAAAGCATATGTACTTTAGTAAATGAGGCCCTTCTCTTTCCCCATTTCCCTTCTCTACCCCATTGCAACCACGAATTGTTATAGACTTCAAAGCTTTTTAGACTCCAAGGAATATCAATGAAGCTCACTAAAATCTTAGGGTAGGAGACTATTTGGTGTCTAGTTGTCCCTCCTTAAATTTTTATTTTCAAGTATTGTCTTCATTTGCTAGCATTGTTTTCCCTACAAACACAAAGGATTTCCATCTCTGGGTTCCAGATAAGGAAACTAAAGAACAAAGAGGCAAAATGTCCTGCTCCAGATCACATGGCTGCTATTGGACAGAGCAAAGATTAGAACTCAGCTGTTAATGACCAAATCTACACTGATTCTCAGTACCTGAAATCTCCATGTTATAAACATAATTCTTAGTATTTCTATATTAATTTTGGTTTTGTACATTATGTGTGTTCTCTATTTCACTTTCCATTGTGTTCTTTTTCTGTGTTCTGTAAACACAAATGTTGGAACCTCATTTGTGGTAAGTATAACCTGCTGCTCTTCACTGAGACAGGACCTAATACAAGTGTTTTGAAGTTAGAATAGCCTATGTGTGGGGGCTCTTTGATTGAAGCCAGAGAATCTCAAAGGAGAGATAAAATTCAGGGGAACAGGGGCATGGGCCATTTTTTTAAACTTGTATTCAGAAAAAAAATCAAATTTACAGAAAAGATGTAAAGATAATAAGAATGCTGCTAGTCCTACAGCCCGGATTCACCTAATTTTAGCATTTTGTTCCACTCGCTCTCTATAGAGAGAGCATATACATATCCAAATCTTTGGCCTAAATGTTTGGAAGTAAATTGCATATGTTATTATAGTCTACCCTGAAATTTTCCAGTGAATATTACCTAAAAACAAGGATATTCTGTTTCCTATCCCCAGTATGGTTATCAACCTTGGTAACTTGAACAGCAACATAGACCTTAATCTACTGTCTGTATCTCAATGATGTCAGTTTGGCCAGTAATATCCTTTAGAGCATTTCTCCAGTTCAGGATCTAGTCTAGGATCTGATACTGTATTAAGTTAACCTGTCTCCTTAGTCTCCTTGAATCTATAAAAATCCCCCAGGATTTCTGTACTTATTATATGATATTCACATTTTTTTTGAAGAATATAGCTGATGGACTATCATTATAGTCCCTTTGTCACCAAAAATTCTCTTTCAGGAGCTGATCTTTGCTCAAATTCCAAAGAATATTTTTACATATGGGAGTCTTTAGATTTTTGTGGTCACTCAGGGCAGAATCAGGACATAAACAATAAAACTAGAGATGACAGGATATTTAGAGGAACTATTCAGGGGGTGAGGGAGACATCCTGCAGTGCAGGAAGAGTTGAAAAGAAAGAGGGAGGCTGGAAGTAGAAGTCCTTTGATAGTAGGGGACCTTGGAAAGCTGTTGTCACAAAAGGAAGGATCCTGTCATTCCAAGCAAAGCCTCAGCATGTAGGTGTGTATCAGTCAGGGTTCAACCACAGAAGCAAACTAGTGGAAGATATATATTAAGAGACTTATTGCAAGGAATTGGCTAACAAGACTGTGAGTAGAAAACAAACAGAAAAATAGCAGAAGTAATCTCTCCTTATAAGTAATTACTTTTTTTTTTTTTAAAAGTAGGCTCCACATCCAGTGTGGAGCCCAACACTGGGCTTGAACTCACAACTCTGAGTTCAAACCTGAGCTGAGATCAAGAGTCAGGACACTTAACCAACTGAGCCACCCAGGTGTTCCTTCCTCCTTATAAGTAATTACTTTAAGTGAAAGTAGATTAAACTCTCCAATCAAAAGGCAGAGATTGGCAGAATGGATAAAAATACATGAATCGGGGACGCCTGGGTGGCTCAGTTGGTTGGACGACTGCCTTCGGCTCAGGTCATGATCCTGGAGTCCCGGGATCGAGTCCCGCATCGGGCTCCCGACTACGCGGGGAGTCTGCTTCTCTCTCTGACCTTCTCCTCGCTCATGCTCTCTCTCACTGTCTCTCTCTCAAATAAATAAATAAAATCTTAAAAAAAAAAAAAATACATGAATCGGGGTGCCTGGGTGGCTCAGTGGGTAAAGCCTCTGCCTTCAGCTTGGGTCAAGGTCCCAGGACCTGGGATCCAGCCCCGAATTGGGCTCTCTGCTCAGCGGGGAGCCTGCTTCCTCCTCTCTTTCTCTGCCTGCCTCTCTGTCTACTTGTGATCTCTGTCAAATAAATAAAATTTTTTAAAAACATATATATATATGTGTGTATATATATATATATATGTACATATATATATGAATCAACTATATGCTGTCTGTTAAGAACTTATTTTAGGGGCGCCTGGGTGGCTCAGTGGGTTAAGCCACTGCCTTCGGCTCAGGTCATGATCTCAGAGTCCTGGGATCGAGCCCCGCATCGGGCTCTCTGCTCTCTAGGGGAGCCTGCTTCCTCCTCTCTCTCTGCCTGCTTGTGATCTCTCTGTCAAATAAATAAATAAAATCTTTAAAAAAAAAAAAAAAAAAAAAAAGAACTTATTTTAGATATAAAAACATAAATACATTGCAAGGATGGAGAAAGATATTCCATGAAAATAATAACCAAAAGGGAGGAAGT